CCCTGACCCAGCTTCCTGGGGTCACATGCTGCCTCAGAGCTGCACACCTGGCCCTCACTTTTGCCCTCCAGCCTCCTTTATGGGGCTTCCCTGAGCACAATGCCAAGGCTTTGGACCTGCTGAAGCAGGTGGTTTTGCTGTTGGATCCGTATCTATAATTTTTGTTTTTTGGCGGAACCAGGGATTGAACTCAGAGCCTTGCGCTTGCCAGGCAAGCACTTACTCTACTGAGCCATCTTCCCGGCCCCTGGATCCGTATTGCTAACTCGAGTGTGCATGATCCTGGTCCACAGGCGATTCATGTAGTGCTTGTGGGTGCCAGGTGTTACCCACCTCTTCACAGAAAGATCACTCACTCCACCAGACCACTGTGTTCCCTGGCTGGTTGTTCCCCGGGACCCAGCCGGTGCTCTTCCTTGGGCTCTGTGCAGAAGCAGCCTGGAAAGGAGGTCCTACGGATAGGTGTGTGTGGTGAGGTCAGGCTGCAGGAGGCGGGTGCAGTGGACTCCTGCTGGCCCTCAGGTCTAGTCTGTGCGGTGGCATTGCAGCACCTGTGTCCCCGAACAGCTGTGGAGGGTTTGTGACCCCAGGAAGGAAAGTTCCATCACATGCATGCACGTGTGCACACACATGCACACATGCACACACGTGCACACACCAGCCCCTGGCGAGGTCCTGGGTGTTACTGTTGGGTCACAAGCACCGCCCTCTGCCCCCACCCCTGTGGCCTCAGTGCTGAGTCTGCTAACGCCCATGCCCATGCCTGGCTGTGCAGGTATCTGACTGCAGAAGCCCTGAGATCAAGCTGTGAGCCCCGTGGTCAGCCCAGGCCCGACCCTGTCCTTGAGTGTCACTGCACACGTTGGACAACAGGACATTTGCAAAATGAGGGACCAGAGCCTCCCATAAGCCTGTGAGATAGGTGTGGTGGTGCACATCTGCAATTCCAGCACTTGGGAGGCTGAAGCAGGATTGCAAGCTTGAGGCCAGCCTGAACAACTTAGACCTTATCTCAAAATAAAAAATAAAATAAAATAAAAGGCTGAGGACAGGGGCTGGGGAGATGGCTCAGTGGAATAAGTGCTTCCCTGGCAAGCACAGGGCCTGAGTTCAATCCCTGGTTCCGGAAAAAAAAAAAAAAAAGTTAGAAAAAAAAGGCTGAGGACAGAGCACAGTGCGAACGCCCTGGGTTCAGTCCCCAGTGCCATGCACACTGAGCAGGCTCCTGGTGTCACATGATCCTCACTGTCCTCTGCCCCTTAAACTCTTCCTCAGCCTGCAAAGCACACAGGCCTGGGTGACCTTTGCCCGGTTTTCTGTTCCTGTGTCTCTCCCTGTCTAGTGCCAAGTTCTTTCCTAGCTTCCTCCAGCCAGGGGTAGGCAGCGTGGGGACAGATACGCTGCAGGGACGCGGAGGAATGGGGACATTCTGCTCGGTGAGGGGTCTCTGCTCCAGGGCAGCCTGCTGTCCAGCACATTAGGGCTGAGCCCTCGCTCACCACCTGGGATACAGAGGGCACAGCGGGGGCAGGGCTAGAGCTAGCTGTTGGGGACAGAGCTCTTTTGTCCCTGCCGCAACCCCTACTTGGAGACACAGGCGCTGAAGACCAGGACGCAGGCGGCTGGTACCCTGGCCTCCCTCTGCACAGGTGCAGGAGGCACCCCATGTCCTGATGCTGCTGGAGAGCCAGGGGTCCCAGGCCCTGGGCTGCAGATGGGCTGGGGGCCTGTCACCAAGCCACCCCGCCCCAGTGTGCACCCCCACTCCCGAGCTTTTCTCCCCCTATCTTTGGAAAACAAAGTAATTCGCTTTTAATGACCGCTGGTGTTTTCCTTCCCGCTTCTATTGGGGCAGATAAAGTCGGGGGCCTCCCTGTGGGTTAAACCACCATGACCTTCATAATCAGAGAACAGAAATAAATTATGTTTGCTCATAAATGTCACCAGGGCCCAGCCGTCTTCTCACAGGTGGTGATAACATGCTGCTTTTATCAGACCTGGGTGCTCAGGTGACAAAGTGCTCCTTTGTGTTGTTGGTGGTGGTGGCCTCCGTGGGGCCTGCTTTCCCAAGGCTGCAGTGACCGCAACTTGCCCACTGGCGGGACACCAAGCTCCCCGGCACCCATCTGGATTGACCCCTCGGGCCTTCAGACATGGCCACCTGGATTTGGTGACCATGCAGCTGACCCTGCATCGAAGCCGGCTTGCTGACCTCGGGGCACCTACATGGACACTGTGTTGGAAGGGCTCAGGCGGCCCCTAAGGCCCAGACTGCTCTTCCTCAGGCCAACTCAGCTTCGGGGTGACGCGGTGCTCCCAGCCTGCCTGGCACAGCCCCCCTGACGTAGCTGTGGCTTCTGCTCCTCCTCCTGCACAGGGTTCAGCCTGAGGGGAGAGGGTGCTGGGGGTGGCTGTGGTAAGGCATCTCCCCCAGGCGCAAGGGTGCCTCCAGGAACATGACCCCAGCGAGCAGCAAGGGTGGATCCGCCCTGAGGGACCTGACAGATGGCAAAATGATGACGCCACACCTTCCTACCACCTCCGCAAGGTGTGACTCATAGCAATTTTCCAAAATCTGCTGTCCTGACTAGTGGGGTGTATGTGTGCTTTAATTTTTTTTTTTTTTTGCGGAGCCAGGGATTGAACTCAGGTCTTTGCGCTTGCCAAGGAAGCGCTTATTCCACTGAGCCATCTCCCCAGCCCCATGTGGGTTTTAATTTTAAGGCAGTCTTGCTATGTAGTTCAGGCTGGCCTGGCCTCAGACTTGCTATGTCACCCAGGCTCATGGTGATCCTCCTGCCTCAGCCTCCTGAATGCTGGGATTACAGGTGTGCACCACCACACCTGACCTGTGAGTTTAATGGAACTCCTTTGGCCCCTCCTTCGCTCCCACTGCTCCCTCCCGCGGGTGCAGGCTGCCTGTTGTCCCCACCCCCAGCCCAGCCTAGCCCTGGCTGCTCTGCCTGGAGGTGTGAGCCTGCAGTACCACCAGAGGGTGATTAATCAGCATCTAGCCCTGGCTTAAGTGAAATTGCAGGCTGAGGGGCCTGCTAGATCTGATTTAGAAAACAGAGGGCTGCAAGTCCTCCTGCCCAGCCTGTCCCCCGAGGACTGCCGTGCAGGTGCCCATGGGCAGGGCGCCAGGCCAGGTGGGAGTGCTGCCTTCATTAATCAGGCACTGGCCAGCAAGGACAAAGTAAATCTCAAATAATCACACTGTATTTTTGACGAGGTAAGTAGGTGTTTTATGCCCGGAACAGGGAGCCTGCCCTTCTGTGGCAGTGGGCCCTGGAGAAGCTCTTCTGAGGCCTCCCGCCCAAGTGCGCCACCTCCGCACATCTGCTTGGCAGGACTCTCCAGGAAAGTGGCATTTGGGCCACAGCTGCGCAAAATTAGGTGTTACCACAGCACCTTGGCTTCGTGGTGGCAGGCACCTGCTGTGTCTGGCTGACTCAGCCTCGGCGCCAGGCTCAACCCCCTGGCCTCGGCTTTCGCCTGGCACTTTCTAGGGTCTTGCTTTAGTCCAGGGAGCAAAATTTTCCTGCAGAATTACTCAGCAGAAATGTCTTGGACCGTCCATCAGCTTTTACGAATCTCACAGCAGATTCTAAGCAGACCCTCAGTGACACTCAGCCAAGCGGGGCAGCACGGGGCGGCTCAACCTGCTGTCCACTGGCAGGTGCCCAGGCTCTGCCCCAAGCCCCAGCAGGTGTCAGCTCGGTGCCAATGAGAACTCATCCAGAGACAGCATGGGCACTGGCTCTCAGAACACAGGTCAGAGGCCACACCAAGGCGGTGGGCATGCCTGTGGTCAGGCACGTGGCCCTGCCCGAGCTCAGCAGCACCACGCTCGCCTGCACGTGCTGGCCACGCCTGGGCGTCCGGGCTCCTCAGCTGGGCACTGCAAGCCCTGGAGGTCAGGGATCAGCTGGCTTCATGAGTCAGGCAAGGAAGGTTGGAGAATTTTGGTTGTGGGGCTTTTTTCTGAGATGGGAATCTCACTATGTAGTTCAGGGCTGGTCTTCCACTACTCCCAGCGATCCTCCTGCCTCAGTCACCTGGGTGCTGGCATTACAGGTGTGTGCCACCACACCCAGCTCAAAGTACTTTAGACCTAGACCTTGGAAGAAATAGTTCTGAATTACAAGTGCTTTTGAAAAACTAGAACTTACACAAAAGTTACATGGATACACTTCACCCCCTTCCGGTCGGCCGCCTCTGGCGCTCGCCCATGCAGGCAAGCACCCCTGACTACCACCAACCCCAGGTAAAGCACAGGCTGGCTGTTCCAGCAAGCTCTTCTCTCAAAATGAACGGACACTCTACCCAGAATGTAAGAAAAGATTTTATTTACATTTTAACACACACGAAGGCCCAGCAGAGGGCTTTGCAGTCACGCGGCACGCCGGCCCCCTCCACCTGCAGCAGCTCCCCCCAGAACTCACACACCGAGCGTGGCACGCGGCCTGCAGCTCCCTTCCAGTGTAGGTGTTGCTAATATATTTTCAAATCTCTAAGAAAATGAAGTTTCTTGGAGCATGAGGGCTGCACAATGATCACACTTAGCCCGGGGAGCCTGCACCTGTGCCTGACAGAACGCGACTCTTGCGCACAACCCTCTGGCCTGGACGGACAACAGGCTGCCCGGCCGCACCCTGCCGGGCCACCTGCCACACAGGCACATGGGGTCAGCAGGGAGGAGGAGTCTGGGGACAGAAGCCAGGATGGGCGAGGGACTGTCTGGGCACAGCCTGGACTCCTCTCCACCACATGTGGCTTCTGCTTGATGGCCACACTGCACACTGGTGACAGCAACACCGTCACACCCGCGCTGGGACTGGTGGTGCAGTCATCTGGGTTCTGCGAACCCTCCTGGAAGGAGGTGGCATCTGGCTGGCTACACCCCATGGGGGTGACAGGATGGCCTCCAGCAAGGCACTCTGCTGTCACCTTCTTTGTCTAAATTCAGACTCAGGCGGAAGCTGGGGGTCTTGGCTCCAAGCAGTCAGCTGGGGAGGGCCCGGCCCCCTGTGTTGCTGAGGCCGGTCTTCCACGCTGCCCATGAACACGCAGGCTCAGGCCTCAGGCAGGGGCAGACAAGCATGGGACGCAGTGCGCAGGGTGCACGTGGGCACCCAGGAGCCATGCCACGGTGCACTCGGCACCCGGAGGATGGTGCTGCCCCATGACCTCTTCCTTGCAGGGGTGGGTGGCTGTTCCCGCAAATAATCTGCGAGACTTAATCACATCTGCGGAGCGCCAGGCTAGCAGGCAGTGCGCCTCTCGGGTTCTGCTACATCCGCGGTGCGGCCCGGCCCTGCAGGGCCCTGGAGGCGAGCTCCGCCCTCTCCCTCAGTGCACTGGCCTTGTCAGGGCTCCGCAGGGCCTGTGTGGGCCTCAGGAGGAAGTGGCTGATGAAGAGCTTCAGGCCCTCCCTCAGGACACCCAGCTTCGGGTTGCTGGACACCCTGCAGGGAACCACAGACGCCTCCATCACCAACCTCTCTGGCTTTTGTTATTTTCCCTCTGTGGTGCTTGGCCGGTGTCCAGTGCCTGGCCCACGTGTTCTAGCACCGAGCTGCTCCCCCCACCCCGTTTCCTTTGAGACTTTTATTTTCCAGGCAGGGTCTGCCTGTGTCACCCACTCTGGCCTCAAGCTTCTGGGTTTAAATAATCTTCCTGCCTCAGTCTCAGTGGCTGGGGTGACAGGCCTGGGCCCCCCATACCTGCTTGTTTTGAAGCAGAATTCTCAATTAAGACCTTCTTAAGGCTGGGGATGTAGCTCAGTGATAGAAGCATCTGCCTAGCATGCGTGAGGTGCTGGGTTCAAGCCCCAGCACTGCAAAACCCAGGTAGTTTGCTATGGAGCAGAGCTTACGGCTCTCAAATGTAACGCATCTATGAGCACACAGCTGAGACTGAGACGTCGAAGACACGTGTAAGGGCCTGCCGCTGCTTCTGTACACTGCAGGAGCGTGCAGCCCCCCTCCCCCCCGAAACACGCTCAGGACGTACCTTGAAAACATTAAACTCACGTCTTCAGCTTCCGCTTCCATTAGCAGCATGGTTAACACTCTGCGTAGAAAGTGCACTCGGGGCTTGTCCAACTCGCTGAACTCAACCACCTGGTCGGCAGACGGAAAACAAAGCCACACTGACGCAGCCAACTCCTCCAGTGACCTTCCTGCGGCGAGCAGCTCGGCAGCGAGATCCACGCTCGCAGGACGCACTGATGGCCAGGACCACCCCTGAAGGCCCGCCCTCTGGGTACCGCTCCTACATTTAGAATAGGGGAGTCTGAGTAGTGCAGACACACTTCTCTCTCCTTCAAAGCTGAGCCCCGAGCTAACTCAGCACGCAGAGGACAGCTTGATACCCTACACGTACACACCTATTCCTACACGTGTGATAAAATCACAGGAGCTACAGGCATCTACACAGCTGGTGTGAGCTGGGTGTGGTGGCACATGCCTGTGACCCCCACACCCATGAGGCTGAGGCAGGAGGATCCTGGAGTTTGAAGCCAGCCTGGACTATAGAAATGAGGTCAAGGCTGGCCTGAAATACATAGCAAAACCTTGTCTCAAAATATCAAACCCCCAAACCAAACAAAACAAAGCATACCCAGGAGTGAGAAGACACGCGGGGTTAAATGTGTGTGCATGCGCGCCTGGGGCGTCTCGGGCTTCTGGCCCCAGAACTTCCTCCGCACAGTTCCCAGCACTTGGGGTGCTGGCTCCAGGTGGCTGGCAGCATGGCCCATTCCACGCTGAGCTCCGCACAGTGAGCGAAGGTGACAGTCCAATGATGAGGACGTGTTTTTCAGCCAAAAATTATTCCAGCTTTCAGGAAATGCTATGAGCACCCCTACTGCCAGCACAGAGACCCCACCCTGGCACACACTAGAAGACTCCTGAGAAGGTGCTCTGGCAAGTGGAGGGCACAGGGCCACAGCCATGGCCACTGAGCAGGCCACCCCGCGGGTGGAGCCACTGTCTCTGCCGCCTGCCCTCGACCCCCAGAGCTCCCAGGGTGCACCACTCAGCCAGACTGGCTGCCTGCGCTCTGGGACGTTCACTTAGACAGATCAGCCACAGCCCACTCCCTGGTCGTACTGTACTAGTCGAACTCCTGTGTGTGAACTTCTATGAAGGCTGATGTTGGAAACAGTTTTCAGAATCTTGGGAAATGTATTTTTTAAAGTACCAAATTTAAATAATTACATTAACGTTTCACTGCTTTGCATAATTTCATGCATGATACACACCTTTAGAATGGAAAGTGGAAGTGACTTTGTCTTCAACAAGTGTGCCACCAAGTGAACCAAATTTAAGAATTTGGTGTCCGGCAAGTTTTCTAAGTCCCGAAATTTGTCCCATATGCTGAACTGGAAGGTCATCTAGTAACCAGTTAAAACAGTTAAAGCGTGATGGTTATCAGAACAAACGATTAAGTGTGGCGCACAGGTACTATATCCTCTCACCAACTTCTTTTTTCTCATTAATTTTATTGAGAAAGAAATAGCAATGGGACAGTTGCAAAACCAACTTTTTTCTAATACCCCCAAGTCACAACCTCGTGGACACGGACTCTCCTGTCCTTCCCTCCCAACAGGCCCCGAAGCAGCTCCCCTGGCTTCGGCCCTGTCTCCCCCGGAACCAGCGGTTACCAGGAAGTGCCTAGAGGAGGCCTTCCTGGCTCTAGCGCAGGGCTCCATGCACCAGCACTGCTGGAGTCCACCTCGCCTGGCTGTGACACTGCCCATGTCTGTAACAAGCCAGGTGACCACCTTCCCTGTCTCCACCCTCTGCAGGCGGCTGGCCGCCACCTGGAACCACGACGCAGCCTGAGTTACCTGAAATCGCCGCTCATATCCGCACAACTTGCTGGACAAGAAGGCGTAGAAGGGGTTGTAGGTTTTCTCCTGCAGGCAGCAGTCCATGAGCACGTGGACGATCTCTCGCTCCTGCTGGTCCCTCAGCCCAAGCCTGTGCACAGAAGCAGCCGTCTCAGGTGGAATCTTTCAGAGGTCCAACAGTGAGCTGGCTGGGGTGGCGTTGGCAGCCAGGTAGGGCCACAGCACGAGCCCGACTGCCCTGGCACCGCTTACTCCCATAATGCAGCAAAATGCTGGAAGGCAGCACAATGCTAGAAAGCACCATGTGACCCAAGGTTCCGTGCCAGCTGTGAAAGCCCACGACCGGGGCACAACAGCAGGTTAAATCCGTAACCCTAGATTGAGGTTCCAGCTGAGGCAGCAGCATTTTCATTTTTAACACCCCAGGTACGACTTGCAGTGGAACTCTGTGGGCCTGAGCAAGCCAAGCTCCCCTGCAGCCAGCGCTGCCCAGGCCACTACAGTCTGTCTTCTGTCCTCTAACAATGCCACCGCCAGAGTGTGAACAGCCAACATGGGGGCTCCTGGCACGCGCTGGGCACAGGTGCAAGCAGCGCTGCCCGCTGCAAGGAGGACCCTGACTTCTTGGTCCCCCAGTCTGGGCCACATGGGGTATATGCAGTTTCCAGGGACCACAAATAACTGCTGTGTATGTGTGTGTGTGTACGTGTGCACACACTGGCAACAGAAGCCAGTGACATCCGGCCTAGCTGAAGACTGTGATGAATAAAAATGGGGAAATGAGCTGGTATCATGCTGCTTAGAGTATTTGTGGAAGTCCATAGACTTTTACAAAATTTTACAACTACAGAAACTACACTTCAATGCTCGGGCCAGCACGGTGACGCACGCTTGTGATCCCAGCACTTGGGAGGCTGAGAAGGATCACAGGCTCCAGCTTAGCCTGGCCAACTTGGCGAGTTCAGTGAAAACCTGCCTCAAATTAAAAACTTGTGCAAGGGTTGGGAGACAGCTATGACTCCCAACGGAAGGCCCCGAGTTCAATTCCCAGGACACCAAAAAAGAAAAGGAATCTACCAGAATGTTAGCTTTAACGTGGAGGCTTCTACCTCTCCAAGCAATCAAGATGACCACCAGCCCCCGGAGCAGCGCAGTGACCGAGCCCTCGTCGGGGCTTTGTGCAGTGCTGGGGGCTCTGGCGCGCGGCAGGGGTACAAAGTCATACAGTGACATCCACCTAACAGGCAGAGACATTCCCACGAATGCTTACTTGAGCAGCTTCTCAAAGGCATCCAGAAAATCCTCGCTGCTCATCACGGTGCAGAATATGTTCCTCCTGATGTCAGTGTTCATCCTCTGCTTCCGGGCAAGCTCCAGCATCTTTGCACTCACCTGGCACAAGGGACAGCAGGCCCAAGTGTGCACAGCTGTCTCTGGAGGGCAGCTTGCTGGCCTGGGCTCTGCACTCAGTGCCTATGGCTGGATCAGCAGGGAAGCAGCCGAGAAAAGCCCCAAAGGAAGAGTCTGGCCTGGAGACCACGCAGAAGCCCACTCGGAGCTGACATGTGGAGCCACAGCCGCCAAGTGTGACCAGGGCCAGGCCAGGAGAGGTCAGGAGTGGGAAGAGGACATCTGTGCCATGTGTAGGCATTAGCTCATGGGCTGGAGCCTACATCCTCTGGGACACACACACACACCACGCACCTCAGGGGCAGGATCTGGGAGATGAGGGCCTACTTGCACACCATCATCTCATTGTGCTCCACTCCAAGGTCTTTTGTGCTACATTTTGGGACCTTAAAGGATCCTTCACAGGGTATGGCAGTACACGCCTATAATCCCAGCATTTGGAAGGTGAGGCAGGAGGCCTGCTGCACGTTAGAGGCCAACCTGTGCTACAGTAAGGTTAAGACCAGCCTTGCATACATAGTAGGACCTGTCTCAAAAACAAACTAAAGAAAAACAGCAAAACGTGAATTTAACAAATCTTTTCACTTTAACATGAAGCCTTGACCTGCTGGATCAAATGGCTCTGCCTCAGGCCCTGAGTAGCTTGCACAGCACACAGGCGCTGTGGCCAACTGCACGTAGCCTTTCAGATCTGTCCCCATCGGAAGCGACACGGAGCTCCTCCAGGGAGCTGGAACAGGACAGCCCAAGAGCAGGGGTCACCTACCGTCCCCAGTGGCTTCTGTGGCATCGTGCGATGACTGTTGTCAATCATTGGGGCACCACTCCATGCGGACCCCACGATCCACCAACGACCCATCTGCTCGGCATTCAGGATGCCATCCCAGGAGACACGGAGCTGAGTCTCGGAGCCAGAGCCAGCATTGCGCACCTGGGGAGGAAAAGCCCAGTGAGCACTCCGGCTGGCTGTGCCGTGTGCCCGCTGCACACGCTGCTGCCAACAGCCTTCTTGGAGGTGTGGCCCCAAGGGACGTCAGGCAGTGCTACAACCCGTGCCAAGCCCTGTGCAGGCAGGAGCCAGACCTCACCAAGGAAACCACACAGCCACCAGCTCAGACACTGTGGGCCCTTGTTCCCTCAGTGCACCCAGGTGACACTGAGGCTCAGGACAGACCAGAGTGGCCACTGACCAGGGCTCTCTGCAGTTTCCTCAGCCTTTCCACGGGCTCAGGGTCATAGCCAGGGATCTTGCGCATGTCGTTGTTCTTCAAGGCCAGCATCGTCTCCAGCATGAACCGAATCTTTAGGGAAATGGACAAGAAAGCGCCCCAGTCACCTCAGAGCTCTCCCCAGCCGCCGTCGCTCCACTCACAGACCTGAGAGGCCTTGGTTTCACTATGTCCAAAGCACAGCCCACCGTACTTTCAGCCCCCATGTGCCCCTGTCCACCTAAAGGGGACCCTGCCTTCTCCTTCCCTCCCCTAGCCGGCTGTCCACTTCCGATTCCTGTCCTCACACACATCCCATGTCCCCAGACTCCTACGACACCCAACCAGCCCCTCCACCCCACAGCAGAAAGGCTGTGAAAGGGAGCACCCACAGGCTGAGCACTGGCCCAGGCGTCCCTGCCCAGCCTGAGCGGGTCCCCCAGGCCCCACACTCGTCCTTGTCTGCTCCAACAGCTGTATCCCCTTTTCCTTAGGGACCCTCAAGTACATCCACCCCTCTTATCCTCAGAACAGCAAATAAGGTTGAAGCTGAGGGGCTATTTTACAGATGGAGAAACCAAGCTGGCAAGATGCAGGCAAAGCCCCACATCTGAGAAAAGCCAGTCAGACGTCTAGGTTCCAGGCCTCCGCTTTTCTGAATGAATGCATGTTAAGTGAGTGGACTTTTATTACTTTTTTTTTTTTTAATTTTTTTTTTGGTGGAACCAGGGATTGAACTCAGACCCTTGTGCTTGCCAGAGAAGCACTTATTCCACCAAGCCATCTCCCCGGCCCCATGAGTGGACTTTTAAATTCACAAAATATTGCCAGGCATGGTGGTGCATACCTATAATCCCAGCACTTTGGGAGGCTGAGGCCGGAGGACTGGCAATAGTTCAAATCCAGCCTGTCTACCCTGTGAGCTCAAGGCCAGCCTGGACTGCACAATGATTGAGACCCTATCCAAAAATCTTTTTTTTAAACTGAGAATTTCTTTCTTCTTTTTTGCGAACCAGGGATTAAACTCAGACCCTTGCGCTTGACAGACAAGCACTTTTTCTACTGAGTCATCTTCCTGGCCCCAAAAATCTTAAAAATAAACTCACAAAAAATTTATCTGCCCCGGTCCCGCATGCCGTGCTGACCCCACCTCTTGACTGAGTCTGGGTGTACCAGTGTCTGCCTGTAATTGCAGCAATGGGGAGACTGAAGACAGAAGGACCACTACAATTCTAAGCTGTGCAATGAGACCCTGTGCCAAATACATAAAATGAAAAAAAAAAAAAAAAGAAGTTAAAAAACTGTATCTGGGTTCTTAGTAAAAAAATAAGGTTTAAAAAAAAATAAGGTAAGCCCACAGATTAAAGCTGAACCACAGCCCGGTGTGGTGGCATATTCTTGTAACCCCAGCTACCCTGGAGTCAAAGGCAGGAAGATCCAAGTTTGAGCACAATGTAGGCAGCAGAACAAGGCCCCATCTCAAAATAAAACACAAGAAGGGCTGGGGCAGTAACTCAGCACTGCCTGGGTTCAACCCCTGCACCACCACCAATGTGAGATGAACCCACAGAAGTCAGTAAGGCTGAGGACCCACAATCACTAGGGAAGGAAGAGGCACGTCCAACTTGCACGCCTGGGGCTCAGCTTACCCTGGTCTGGTCCTGAAACTTGCTGCCCGTGGCGCTGGCTTTGGCCTGGGCCTCGGCGATCAGCTCTTTAAGCGACAAAGCGTTGTCTTTCCTCAACGAGAAGCCCACATCCTTCAGCATCAACAGAATCAGCTCAATGTCTTTTTCCGTGAAAGTTCCTACCAACTTCTTCAAAATGTCAAAGATGAGGAGCGACTGCACCACGTGGAAGTTGTACAAGTGGGCGATGATGGTGAACAGGTTGTCGCACTCCTTCCCCTCACCACCAACCCGATGGACTTCATCGAACTTCCTCACCACAGCCTCCAGGAAGCATGCACCCACCTGAACAGGAGCAGAGGGCACAGCCCATCACCACACCCTCCCGCTTCAGGCTGCCGAGCACTCCAGAGAGGCACACCCTGCAGCAGCTCCAGCACGAGTCACAGTGATTACAGAGGGCGACAGAGCACTACAGGGCAAGCGATTCCTGGCCTGTGACCCCCTACTGTGAGGAGGCCTGTGGGCTTTGACATCAAGCACGTGTATTTTCTGGCCAGCTGTCACTGTGGTTGCTTGGAAAAATAAGCTTTAAAAAAAGAGAAGCTTTAGAATGCTGTCAGGGCTGGAGCTCAGTGGCATAAGCACCTGCCTTGCAAGCGCAAGCTCCTGGGTTTGATTCTGGTACCCCCCCCCCAAAAAAAAAAGTCAAAAACATATCCAGGGCCCAGGGAGCTAGCTCCGTAGAATAAGTGCTTGTCTGGCAAGTGCAGGGTCCTCAGTTCAATCCCCAGTACCGCAAAAACAAAACATAAACAAACCCAAAAAACATATCAGCACCTCAACAACGCTCTCTACCTAGCAACACGCATTCTGCAGATGGCTTTGGCCAGTTTCCCTCTGTTAAGTTTCTTACAAAGAAGTGATACAAGTGAAATTCGAAATGCAAAAATGACAACACATCCTTGAGTAGCATCCTCGACTCCCAACAGGCAGGTACTTCGTCCCAGGGGCACACGAGTGGCCCACTAGCTCTCAGCTCCACACTGTAGCCCACACACGTGCACTCCACAGGGGACAGGTAAGGAAGCTAGCACACAGCTGAGGACACAGGCCCAGGCCAGGACTAGCATGGGCCTGAGGAAGCGGGCGAGGCCACCTGACGCCATCTTCCTGCTGCCCACCAAGTGTCCCATGCTGGCTCTGAGCTAGGGGGTTCTGGGCTTGCTCAGAGTCAACGAAACCCAAAAGTAGAAAAGGCGAGCACCAGTTCTGCCAGTGTGACTGTCATCTCACTGTTCTCTAATCTTAGGTCAAACTGTACTAGAGGGAGCAAACGACAGCAGCAACTCTCGGGACTGGAGTGGCGGCAGCAGTCCAGCCCGAGACGACTGCCCGAACAGGTGACCTAGGCAGGCCGGTGGGCCGAGCACAGAGCTGGGCACCACAGTCAGGCGTGACACGTCTCGGACAGGAATGGGGAGTGACCCGTGCTTCCCAGGTGTTTGGTTCAGCAACCAGGAAATGCTCACGGAAAAGCAGGATAAAATGTGCTTAAGTCTTACCACCAGCTCCGACCGAAGCAATCGGGCAGGACAGAGGGAGAACTGCGAGCCTGTGGATGGCTCAGGGAGGCTGGGCTCTGCCGGCCGGAGACCAGGACCAGGCACAGAACACAGCAAGAATTGAGAAAAAGGCAACAGAAAGCAGAGGCAGCTGACTGCCCGGAAGCCTCTCCCACAGCCTGGACATGCTTTACTCACTGGCAGGTGAACTCAACCCGCAAACTCCCAACTCAGGCCTCTCCCTTAAACACAAAGCTGAAGGTTCTAACTCCCAGCATTAGAGCACATCAAGAAAACCCGAGGCACAAGACACACACAAGTGCACCCCGGGGTGCTGCAGGCTGAACCCAGGCCCTCACGTGTGTCACCCAAGTGCTCTCCTGCAGAGCTATGCTCCCAGCGCACTGGCATTCTCCACTTACAGACAGCACTACACCAAAACGTAAAACCTGTATGCTTCAGAATTACACATCCCGGTACACTAAAGACAGGACAATCCACCCTGCTAAAACAACTCACACAAGTGCGTTCATTCTGATATGCGAACTCCGCATAAATCTACACCGGCGCTTTCAGAGACTCAGAGAAGCAGCCAGCAGCTGCCACGGGGGCCTTTAGTTCGTAGTCTTTCCCTCTGGGAATCCCTGTGAAGCTATTTTTCTCAGGACAGCGTTGAAAGAAGTGTAACGGAGCCGGCCGCACCCTGAGAGCTCAGCACACCGGCAGCAGAGCCTTAGTGGCTGTCATTAGCTAAGTGCTATAATGACTTCCCCCGGAGTAAGTCATCTCACCGTGCTTCGTGCTATTAGCAAAGGTCTAAATGAGAAGCAGAACCCATAATCTCATGTTTTTAAACTGAGTAAATTCCTGATGTGCTGCAGTCAGGGTCTATGACTTTACTATAATTCATTGCAATACTGTCTACAATAAAACCGTGTTAATCATTAAGTCACTGCAGCGTGATCTAAGCGGGGACGAACTGCGCTGGCCACGTGCAGTGCGGAATTACGGCCATCACATGCACCTGGAAACCCATCCAGGCCTCCATTATGCTCTGTAATGACCAGAAAATGAACTTGTGTTCATGCAGGAAAACCAGGATGGACCTGAGTAAAAGTCACTTCAAAAGAGCGAGTCCGCAGGAGCCGGTGTGCAGTTTCCAGCACAGAGACCTCGAGGTTGCTGAGGGCCTGTGCCCGGTCGGCAGGTCCAGGTCCCCTGCCCCCGCCTCAGCTCCCCAGGTCTGCAGCCTCCTGTCTTTCTGAACATTACCATAATGAGACCACTGCTGGGTGAGAAAAACGGGGCGCAGAAGCCCAGAACTAAGCCCACAGTGGAGGGAAAAGCTAGCCAGGGAAGTGAGGAAGGGCACAACTTCAGCAGGAGACTCTCCCTTCTGGCTAGAACAGGCGGAGGCCGCCCCCCACCCCCAGCCGGCACAACCAGCAAGCAAGGCCCTTTGGGCCCTGTGGTGCGCCCACACCTCATACCTCGATTCCGACCGTGTGGTGGAGAATGCTGACCAGGAGGACGTGCTCCATCATCAGCCGGCTGGGCATGGCTGAGGAGGTGACACAGGCGTCCATGAGGGTGGCAGTCAGTGTGTCGCTCACGTCCTTCCTGCTGTGGGCCATGTACAGCTCCTCCATCTGCCCGCTTACGAAGGCCATGTTGGGCTCACTCAGCCTGCAGAGGGACGTGGACATGGAGAGCAACAGTGCTTCACGCTAGGGACTGCTTTCCAGCTCAACTAAGGGCTAAGGACTCAGCGGTATTATCAACACACCCTGCTTCATGTATTTTTTTTTTTCTGGAACCAGGGATTGAACTCAGGCCCTTGTGCTTGCCAGGGAAGCGCTTATTCTACTGAGCCATCTCCCCAGCCCCCTGCTTTATGTATTTCTGACCTAGGAAAACTCTTATTTTGCCACCATAACCCAGAATACACTGCCCAGCACCACTTAACACTCAGCAATCCCAAAGTAACTGTGCCTTTAGCTGACACACAGGCAGCGAAGCACCCCCTGACTCTCAGTCTGCAAGGACATCCAAGGGGGGGTGGGGGGGACCAGGGGGAGCGCTCAGTGGGGCCGCACCTGCCTGGCGATTGCACGGTCCTAAGCTCAGTTCCCAGTATAGAAAAGAGCGTATGTGAGGACACCCTCTACCGCCAGAGGAGAAGACATCTTCAGGCGGTGCTGCTGGGAAATACCAGCTCCTCATTTTGTAAGGGGCATAAACGTCCTGGCTCCTCACACTGGGCAGAGGCTGCCCAGTCTGGGGAGCACAAGAAGACTCCAGGATGCTGACTCCCGGTGTGTCCCTGCTTACTGCCCAGACAGCAAAGAATGATATGGTACAATTCTAGTTTATCCCATGAAAACCACTTGGGTTTTATTTTATTATTTATTTTTTGAGGAACTGGGGATTAAACTCAGGCCCTTGCGCTTGCCAGGGAAGCGCTTATTCCACTGAGCCATCTCCCCAGCCCCAACCACTTGGTCAACCAAAAAATCAACCAAAAAAGAGGGCCCAGTAAAACATGAAGGGGTGATATGAGAGCGCGGCGGAGGTGGCCAGCACACAGAGCCTCACGGATAAGCTGCACGGAACTTCACGCGCATGTGAGATCGAGCCCTGGGGCTGGGCGTCATCTCCCCACTGTCTCCCCCCACCACTGTCTTTAATTGTACTCCGGCCACAGAAGCTGTTACCATCCCGCAACCAGGGGACCACATGCAGGTCCGTACTGTGAATCTGGACTCACTGCTCAATTAAGTTAAACAACGAAAAGGCAACACACACTTTTGGGAAAACCAGGCAAGGTGCTTGAAGTCGGGGCAGTGCTGGTCACCTCTAGAGCGTGCGGGGAGCGGGGCAGGGATTGGGGAGATGAAGGAACTGCAGAAGGGTGGTAGGCATGTGAAATGGTTGAAAAAGATGTGGTACTTTTGGGCTGGAGAGATGGCTCAGTGGTCTAAAGCACCTACTTGGAATAAGCTTGGCAAAGCACAGGGATCGCGGTTCAAT